CCCACCATCACTGCGTGCACACTGGGAATGTGTTATTCCAAAGGGAAGCACTACGCCTGCTTGTTATGGTGTCATATTTGGCCTGTGTGTACTTCAGCTTGTACATTAGTCCATGATGTTGGACAGAGGAGTCTCCTTTCAGAGACAAACACGCCCTCCTCTGTCCAAGGTTGGTAGTGTATATTGGAGCCGTTAGCCTCGGCTGGCTCTGACTGACAGCTCTGTCCTTTGTTAGCTCGTGTCCTCGATGTTTGTGTGTTTCTTTCATGCTTTGTGTTTCACAGGCCACCAAATGACTGGATCTTATTACTAAATCACATTTTAAATATGTAGTGTCCCTTTCTGTACTACAAAGTGCATCTGACTGAATATCAGATGGTTAAGAGAGCTGTCCAGTGGAGCTAAGCATCCACTGGTTTGTGCGTCTGTTAAGTCCAGACTGGGTCTGCAGAGGCTCTTAGTGACTTGGTTTACTGGAACATAAGATGTGATTTTTCTGCTTCAACTGTTTTATTTTGTTACAGACTTTAAAGACACAAAGATTTGTATAAACTTGTAACAGTTGCTTTACAGCCACAGAGTGATTCTCCTCTGGGGCAGAGCAGGTACTGATGCAAAGGTTGGTGGTTCCCCAGTCTGCCTGCCAAATATTGCAACATGTTAACCTCAGGTTGCTCTCTGATATGAATGTGTGTGAAAGCTAGTTAGTGAGTACTTAACAGTGAATGTGGCCTGTTGTATAGAGCGCTCTGTGAGAATGAGTCCATTTACCATTCCCTCTGTCCTTTTCACACAGAGGCTTACTGTGGTGGGAGGAGCTGCTTGTAGAGTAGGAATGTTTACAGGTTACAGTCGGTGGTGAGAAGTCAGATGATGATGATGATGATGACCTGTGTGTTTGCTGGTTTTGCTAAAACACACGAGTGACTGGCTCTCAAACATAAAACCACGAATCAACCATACTCCCACTGACACGCAGGTCTGAACCTGCTTTTTAAATGTGTCTGATCTAAACCAGTCGAGTCACTGGCGTCCCAGAAGCCCCTGCAGCGGGCCGGTCTGGCCCATTGGATGGCTTTGCATTGTGTTTGGCACCAGAAACCATTTAGATTCAACTTTGATTAAGATCAACGTCTTCGCAGGACTGTACGGCACTGATCAACAACAAGTCCCTGTGCTGATGATAACATGTTACAGTAAATGTTCTCATGACTGTGACAGTAAAGCACATCACATGAGCCTTCACGTTGTCCTGCAGCTCACCTGTGCTGACCACACTCTGACCTCTGACCCACGAGCACATGTCGTGTTGTGTGGTTCTTTACATATTTGGCCCAAACTCTTTTCCAGTATGGTGAGCTACCAACACTCAGACACTTAGATGTGACGTCACTGCGATCTCTGAATGTAGTTCCCGTCTGTGTTTTTGTCGGGGCTCTGCAGACTCTTCATCCTGGGCTCCTACGACAGAGAAACCTACGTCCACTGCACCCTGGAGCTGAGCAGCCACCAGTGGAAGGAGAAGGCTCGCAGCTCCATCAAAAAGGTAAAGGAAGCTCGTTTATTCTCC